CCGGCCATGGCCGCTGCGAGCTGCACCACCTCTGGCTCGTCATTGTAGTCATCGTCTGAGGATGACATCCGCCACGGCGACACCCCACTGCTCTACCCGCTGCAGGCGGCGAGCCATGGCCATTCGAACGGTGACGACAAAATTGGGTGGTGGCGACGGTGATTTGGGAGAAATAGGGCGGCCAAGAAGGATTTATGGTTTGGTGTGGCACCGACGGGGTTTATACTGGCGTGGGCGGGTTCAGTTTGGCATCTTGCCGCCGGTTGAGCCATTTTCTCGATGACAGGAGATTTGAGGAGAATGGGTGTGACGTGCTCAAATTTGAGCAGAGAAGGCATAGGGTTAACTCAAAATTTTGAGGAATTATAGTCATGGGGCTTCCGTTAGCTACGGTTTGACTCCCCAAATGATGCCAACACGAGGAGTTACAGAATTTAAAGATTCTGTTAGAGATGCCTTTAGTCTTATATCACAGCAAAAGACTTGCGCATTACAATGCATCCTGTTAAAAATCATCCATAATACCAGCAAAAACAAATCATCCATAATACTTGAAAATGCAAAACATCTCTATCATCATACTAATACATAATCTAACATACTTACTTACTTACTTACTTACGAAGCCTTTTATCCCAAACAAGTTGGGGTAGGCTAGATATGAAACCCTTTCACGAGGACTTCCCAGGAGGTCACTCATCCTAGTACTACTCTCGCCCAAATGGGTTTCATACCCAAAAGACTGGCTAGTTTATACGTTGGCTCACCAAGCCTATCACAACCCTTAGATATGAAACCCTTTCACGAGGACTTCCCAGGAGGTCCATCCTAGTACTACTCTCGCTCAAATGGGTTTCATACCTATGAAACTTGCTAGTTTTTACGTTGGCTCGCCAAGCCTATCACAACCCTCCTCCTTTACCCGGGCTTGGGACCGGCTATGCCTAGAAGCCATAGGCGGAGTTTAATACAGAATCTAACATCATGCAAGAAAATTTTGATGAAAGGAGAACACACCCTCCAATTTAATTAAAATAAAACTGATGATACAGCGGCCCGCGTTTTAAAGTTCAGGCAACAGCAGTTACAACGCTACACTAGGACAGGATCACTAAGTTCAGCCAACACAAGACAGAACAACAACCACCAGGTAGAACACATCACTCATCAAACTGAACCAACCAGCCTATCAGCACAGGAACTAAGACCACAGATCTCTACCGTCCATCAACCACTGCCACTGCAAGGACGAGCCCTTCCAACTCCCATCTCAGATACATTACCCAACAATTACTCTCAGGATCATAGATTACAAGGCTTGATCATACAGTTTCAGGAGGGAAAAACCATGTCGGACGCCACTGGCCAGCGTGACATGGCGATACTGCTGCAGTCCCCGACATCAGCGGCATGAATGTCTCATTCCTAATGTTGTAAACACCGGCATCACGAAGAGGATTTGCAGAATCCTTTGGCTCGGGATAGTCACACATGAAGTAGATGCAATCCTCTTGGTATCCACTGCATTCTTCAGCACGCATGGACTTGGAGCTATGCTTGCCGACAAAGATCGCATGGCCATCCAAGTCACTTACTGTTCTCCATCCAACACGTTCGGCGGCGCGCAAATCTGCCTCAAGAACCTCAAGTGCAAAAGTACGGCCATGCTCCAAATAGTCATCACTTGTTGGATGGGCCATAGAGCGAATCCACCGTATCACCATCAACAGTCTACCGCCACATTCAACCAGATACTGCCTTATCATACACGCCTCTCTCGGCAAGAATTGAAGTGTTCCACTTGAGTCCATCACAGAGTCAATTATGCACTCCATGAATGAAATACGAAGGTCCTTGTCTAATTCAAATATGATCAGTTGGCCAAACCCCGCCAAGACGTACAACTTTTCATCAAAGAATGCAACATC